ATCCGAAGGCAATCCATTCCAAAGGCCAACCACTCTGTTAGAAAAATGAAACTGTCTTAGCTGAAGATGACTCCTACCTTACCAGAATTTATATTTGTGCCCCCTAGTCCTACTATTATCACTGTTAAATATGAATAAAGATGATGCATTAACACTATCAATTCCCTTTACAATCTTAAACACTCCAGTCAGAGAAAACAATTTCAGAGATATCAACCTCTCCTTGTATTGTTTGTTTGTTTTTTGAATTTCGCGCAAAGCTACACGAGGGCTAGCTGCGCTAGCCGTCCCTAATTTAGCAGTGTAAGACTAGAGGGAAGGCAGCTAGTCATCACCACCCACCGCCAACTCTTGGGCTACTCTTTTACCAATGAATAGTGGGATTGACCATCACATTATAACGCCCCCACGGCTGAAAGGGCGAGCAAGTTTGGTGTGAGGGGGATTCGAACCCGCGACATTCAGATTGCGAGTCGAGTGCCTTAATCACCTGGCCATGCCGGGCCCTCTCCTTGTATTACAAACCTTCCATCACAGGCACCATTCTAGTAACCCTTAGCTGAACCCTTTCAAACAAATTTAATGTCTTTCCTAAAGTATGGAGCCCAAGACTGAACACAATGTTCCACATGTGGCCTAACCAGTGGCCTGTACAATGAAATTATAACCTCTTTAGACTTGTCTTCAACATTTCTGTAGATACAACCTAAAATCCTATTTGCCCTACCACTAAGAACAGCACATTGTTTGGATGCCTTTGGAGACTGATCAACTATACTGCCATATATTTACCCAACTCACTAAATGATCTAAATCCTTTTGTAAATCGGCAGCATCCTCTTCATAGCTAGCAACACCAAAAACCTTAATATCATTTGCAAATGTAAGTGATTTATTTACTATTCCTTGTGACATTAATCCACTTTGACTGAACTCCACTTGTAACAACCCTCTGCTTTCTTCCATCCAGCCACTCTTCTATCCAATTTGCTAATTTATCCCCCACACCTATAGACATATTTTTTACAAGCCTTATCTGTGAGTACTATTTTCCCATTGTCTACAAAAGTAAATCATATCTTGAGATTTAGTTTTTTTTTTTACTTCAGTCCTTTGTCCTGATCACAATAGGCCCAATAGAAAAATTTTGTTCCCAGGCTCATTTCCCTTCAATCTGCTCCTGCCTGACATGCGAATAAAAAAAATCACTGTCTTTTTTGCATATTGTACTTAATTATGCATTCATACAGCAACTTTTCACGCGAGAAAGCAAGTGTGATACCCAACTGGAATGACCTAGAACAATAGATAACTAGGGCAAAAGATGTGTATCTTAGTTTCAAAACCAACTCTCTGTTGTCTAACTTACTTACACCCCAAAAATGTGTATGTGTTAAGAATTAAGAAAATTATTGGTGAACAGAAAATGATCACCTGTCTAAACTAGAAAGAAAATGAAACGTTAAGTATTTTTTAATACAACCCATACTAGCGTCTGGTGTTATTGGTTTTAAATTCCATCGTGAGCTGAACTACCGGTGAAAGGGGTTCCATGATAGTTCAAACATCTTATTGAAATTGAAAAGCAAAGCTTTAGTATTGAAATGGATTTAATAAATAAGACAGGAAATTATTTATTTCCCAGGACACGAAAAGTTTCGTTATTTGTTTGTTTGTTTGTTTATTGCATTTTGTGCAAAACTACAAATAAAACATAAGTGTTAGGTTTGTGAAATCACAATATTTTCTTCATCTGTTGACCGTGGCTACCGTCAGTTGAGTGTTTATTTTTAACAAAGAAAATGGAAACCTTGTCACAGCGAATTTCAGCGGGTATTTGAAGAGTATTGACATTTTTGGTGTATTTTATTTAACCGTGTATATCAAAACTAAAAGTACAATTTCCTTTTTCATATTGTTAGTAATAGTAGTTGTAGTACACGTAACTACTTTACTTTAGTTTTACCTATTTCATGAAAGGTTATGTAGTCCTAATATTAGTACATGATTGATCATTGAGTGATTAACATGACGATTAACTCATTAAGCCTGTTTAGGTCTAACTCAAGTAACCTATACATTAAAATTATAAATTATATTCTATCTTCTGAATCATCCTACTAACTCTTCTTTGATCTCTGTCGAATAAGTCAATATCAATAGACAATACTCAAAGTATAATTACCTACTTCCACTTATATAAGTTATAATCAATATTTTTATAGTATAAATACATGTAAAATTGTATTAGCTTTACTACTAACTGTTGGCTGTGAATGTAACTTGTAAGGAGGATGCTGCTGCTTTACAGAAGGATATATCATTTAGTGAGTTGGGTAAATAATTGGCAGATAGGTTTTAATTATAATAAATGCAAGATAATGTATGTGGCTTATCATAATTTGAATTACTTCTCCAGAAGGAGCTGAAGGCTATCTGGAGGGGTCATCTTTTTTTAACCACTTGCTCAACTTTACAGTAGTGTGTTGTCTGTCAGTCAGTTAGTAGACACTAAAATGATATCACATAAGGGAAGCTTAATATTGCAATTTGTACTGTTGTGACATCATTAAAATGTGCACATGCCATGAATCACAAGCAGAATTATGCATTCTGTAGGCTACAACACAGTATGGCATATGAACTTCAAAAGCAAGAAATATAAATATTTGTTACTTTGAAATTTTGGTTTTATTTACTCTTGAAACAGAACACTTTCAGGGACCCTGTAGAAGAACATCTAGTAAGTACAATTTGAATGGCAATAACCTTAACAGTGTTATGAGATAAAGGGATCTTGTTGTAGTGGTTGATCTGTCTCTTAAGCCATTCAATCAGTGTGCTGTTGCTAGTGGTAGGGCAAATAAGATTTTAGGTTGTATCTACAGAAATACTGAATACAAGTCTAAAGGTCACTGGTTATGTCATATTTGGAGTATTATGTTCAGACTTGGGCTCCTTGCCTTATGAAGGACATTGAATTGCTGATAATGGTTCAGAGGAGGGCTAGAACGGTGTCGGGGATGGAAGGCTTGTCATACGAGGAGAGGTTAATATCTCTGGAATTGTTTTCTCTTGAAAAAAGAAGAGTTAGAAGGGATCTGATTGAGCTGTTTAAGATTGTTAAGGGAATTGATAGTGTTGATGCATCATCTTTTTTCATAATTAATGGTGAGAATAGTAGGATTAGGGGATACAAATATAAATTTTGGCAGTGTAGGAGTCATCTTTAGATAAGACAGTTTTATTTTTCTAACAGGGTGGTTGGCCTTATGGGAATGGGTTGCCTTTGGATGTTTTGAAGACAGTAAACTTCAGGCAAATTTAAGAGAAAGCTTGATTACTATATGAATGATAAGAGCTGGCTTTAAAGTTGTTTTTTTTAATAGTTTTAGTTTAGTTTAGAGATGAGACAGCCAGATGGACCAACAGGTTCTTTGTTGTCCCTACACATTATGTTATGTTAACTAGAGAGAACTGCTTGAATGGGTTGAGTAACTTATGTATATTTAAGTTGAAATTCTTTTCTTCATTCTTGCTGTTGAGTGTGTTCTCACTTGTTTTATATGTGAGACCCAAATTATAGCTCATAGGCACATATACTGCACATATCAAAATTAAAGGTCATTTGCCAAATATTTGGCCAGCTAATCAGTTCATTCAAGTTATTCTGTAGTACCTTAATATTTTTAATACATGTATAGGTAGAAATACCCATTAGGTTAATGCATTTCATAGACTTTACTAATTTACTGATTATGGTATATGTACCAATATTATGGTGTAATCAGCTTCAAGTAATGTATATATGTCACCATGTAAAACAAATGAGAGAAATATTTTATTAACAAACTCATAGTTATATAATAAAATCACCAACTAATGGCTAAAATTAATAAAACAACTTAAATAAAATGAATCAGCAGAATATTAGATAACAACAAAATAAATAATATATTACACTTTAATATTATGATGTGGTCTAGAGGAAATGAACTGATGTTCTTTCAGATCTCAGCTTGGCTGCAAACTGGTAGGTATCTCACTTCTATCAGAATAATCTAGAGGTGTGACATCATTAGTAGTTTCTTCGATATTCTCTTGAGTACGAGTTGTTTGATCAACTACAGGATTCAGTTAATTAGCAACATGGACAAAAACCTGTAAAAATATAAGAGGATTGGAATTGTGTTTTTTATTCCCCATACGCTCTTCAAAACTATCAACATTATCATGAGACTGAGGAGGCCTACCATCTGGTCCTGCATGCCACAACTGATCAGTATGTCTAAAGAATTTCTTCTTATCATCACTGATGACAAGATTAGTGCGTGTTCCAAACTCAAAACAAATAATTCCTCTCGTCCATTTCTTTACTTGTCTAAAATCATGCATCCATGCAACATCTCCAACAACAAATATTCTTTATCTTCCTCAATGGTTAACTTGCTGAATATTTTGCTTATCTCTTAACATATTCCTTCAAAGAAGGCTTCATTAAATCCAATCTTGTCTGTATTGCACAACCATACAACAATTTTGCTGGACTGACTCTTGTAGAAAGAACATAAAAACAACTTATTGCTTCATTAGTTATTAATCTATGCTTCCTGTATATGTTAAAAGAATGCTTAAGTGTGTCAACTAAATTTTCTGCTTCCTCATTTCTAGGTGGATGTACTGGAGCAATGGTGATATGCTTAATTCTATTTGATTGCATAAAACTCTCAGAGGTAAACTAATGTCTATTGTCAGTAATAAAATGATATGGTAATCCATGTCTTATAAACAAGACTGAAAAGTCTTGATTGTATTTGCAGATCTCATAGAAGACACTCTAACTACTTCTGGCTATTTAGAATAAGCATCAATAATTAGCAAAAGTCTCACTAATGACTCGTTTAGAAGCTGTGCATGAATTCTCTGCCTAGACTTGCTAGGACATTCCTATGGATGTAATGATGCTGTGGGTAGCTTCACCATATTCTATTGCCAGAGAAAACAACTTTGCACTGTTGCTTCAATTTCAGAATCTAATCTTGGGCACCAAACATGTTCCTTTGCTAGTGACTTCATTCTACTCATACCAACATGTCTAGAGTGGAGATTATCTAAAATCTGCCTGCATATGACTGTTGGAACAATGACTCAGTGTCCCCACGTAAAGGGTCTAAATTCCTTATATTATTGTCCTGTCCATCCCTCTGTGGTCAACCTTAAAACTATTAACAAAATTCTATTTTTATGGGTAAATTCTGCAATCTGAACTAAAGATCTGAGTATAATGAAATTCCACTTCTTCCTCATTATTTCCTTTCATTTGCAATTATGTTTTTTCACATCTTTTCTAAACTTAACCTAATATAAATAAACAGACAAAAACAAGGCATATTGTAGTATTCTCAATGAAACTGTACTTGGCAGACTAGCTGTAGGTTTAAATAGAAAAATTAAATGTCTGTTATTAGTCCAAATTGTAAAAAATCAATCATAGAGATATTGATTGAACTTCTTGACTGCTCCTATAATATTTAAAGCCGCTTTGTAAATTTGAACATAATGAGTCTCTTTTGTTGACGGTGTAGGAGACATAAAAGCAGTTGGTCTCTTACTACCATCCTTGTAGACATGAACTAACTCGGCCCCAATTCCATAACTAGGAGCAGAAGAAGAAATCTCTAGGGGTAAACTTGGATCATAGTGTACCAAAACAAGTGCAGTACATGACAATGTCTTTGCTTATTTGAATCTTTCATCACACTGTTTGGTCCTCTTCCATGTTGTCGTTTTCTGTTTACTAACTCATGAAGGGGATGCAAAACACTAGTCAAATTGGGTAAAAATTGTCCATAAAATTTGAATCTACACAAAAGGCTCAAAGTTGTTTCAAATCTTTGGATACTGGTGCTTCTATAATAGCCTCAACTTTTTCTTCTGTTGGTCATATGCCATCCTTATTAACCTGGTGTCTCAAGCATTCAACTTCAGATTTCATAAAACTACACTTATCTTTATCAAACTGCAAACCAGCCTCTTCAATAACTTCATGTACATAATCAAATCTCTGTAGATGATCTTGGTCATTTTTGCCAGTCAAAATTGTGTCATCTTGAAAGTCTGCTAGATGATGAATTCCAGCCAATGATAAACCCATGTAGCATTGAGAAAGTGCTGATGAGGGTGAGAGTCCATACATCAAACAAGTGATTAAATAATCCAGGATCTGTAGTCATTTTGCAAACTTCCTGTTACTCTTCATCCAACATTAACTGACTGCAAGCATGTCTTCCATCCAACTTAGTATACTTTTTACCACCATTCAACTTAAAAAACAACTCATTTTTTCCACCTGAAGATTAGGATTAACAGTTACACTCTAATCTGCATGGATATGAATTTGACTATTATTTTTTAATAACTGGAATGATTAGAGTAGCCCAATTGGAATGTGATATGGGTTTAAGTATTCCACAGGCAACCAAATATTTTAATTCTTCTTCAGCTTTACCCTCAATGACAAAAGGTACTGGGCTACTCTTACAAAATTTTGGAATAGCTTCTTTTAAGGTCAGATGAGCTTGATAATTCTTAACACAGCCCAACTCATTCTTAAATAAATTATTATGTTTGGGCAAAACTTATTGTAATGAGAGTTCATTGTTGACTTCATTCAATATACACACACATTCTTCCAGTGTACTCCATTCTTCCCAAAAGTAAAGGTCCACCAGATTCCACAACAAATATTTCATGTTTTTAGTGCAACTTTTATATTGCATATTCATGCCAATTTTACCAAGTGGCTTAATCCTTTTTCCTACCTGAGGCTTCAT